CTACCAAATTCCTTTTTAAACTGTTTGTAATTGTCTTTTTCTTATGTGTTATGAGTAGAATAATTTGTTAAGTTTGGTCTTTAACACCAAGCAATTTTTGTATTTTTTAATAATTGACTTAATCAATGAGTGATGCGTGAATTTTTCACCTGTGAGTAGAACATCTACGAAAGACAAATCTCAATAACGTTTTTACAACCTTTACACTCTTTATAGATTTCGAGGATGCTTTATTAACAGTAGCACTTTATTTTAGTTATTTCTGATGAAGAAAATAAACATTTTCGAAAGCTTGAAATAAAAGAGTACACTTAGTTCACCGCTGCAACTCCCAATAAGCTTCAAAGCTCTAATTCTTTCATTCAGGCAGCCTGTGGCTCTCTTTGCTCTATTCACTTGATCTTCCACACTCATTTCGAGCTTTCCGTAGCTAGATAATGTGATGCCTAGATATTTAAACTCTATCACTTGTTCTATTATCTGACCTTCCAGTTCCAACTTACATTTTAGTAGATTTGAAGTTGTAACCATGCATTTTGTCTTTTTTGGGGATATTACCCTTGAATTTTCTGGCGGATATATTAAATTGATGCAGCATACGTTGTAAATCATCTTCACTTTGAGAGAATAGTATTGTGGCGTCTTTATAGCAGATTATATTTTAAGTTGTTTTTCTCCCATTTGGTATCCTTTTTAGTACTTACATTTTTTATTATTCCATCCATAATCAGGGTGAACAATAGATAACTCAGGAATCTCCCTGTCTTATCCCATTGTCAGCTTCAATAGGATCGGTTAGTTCTTCTTCTATTATTATTTTTATTGTGTTGTTTTGGTAGATGTTTTCGATCGTTTTAATTATTCCTAGAGGTATCTCTCTTGCATACAGTGGAAAACGTCTTTTAATTGGACCCGCTCAAATGCCTTCTTAAGGTCCACGAATCATAGATATGTCGGTTTATTGTATTTTAATGATTTCTCTTGCACTTGCCTCATTAAAAATATAGCATCGGTGCATGATCTTCCCGATCAAAAAACTTGTTGTTCTTTTGCTAGAGTTCATAATTTCATTCAGTTTATGTTATCAGTTTGGTTGTTAATTTTAGTGTTATGTTTAATAAATTAATTCCTCTGTAATTTTCCGGGTTCGATTTGTGTCCCTTTTTGAAAAGAGGTATTTGGATACTTGATCTCAATTCTTGATGAATTCTGTTTTGTTATATCATTTTTTGGATTAGTTTTAATAGTTGTTTGGTCAGATCTGGCCCTCTGTACTTAGGAGTTCGTTCGGTATTCTGTTCTCTCCTGGTCTACTACTTGGAGAAAATTTCCATTTTGAGTAATGGATGAAGATTGCGTGTTTTGGATTTGTATGAGCAGAAGTTAAGGCCGGATTGACTGGCCCAGTTGTTTATTTTACTTAGCGTGTTTTGTAGTAAAGTATATGTACTGGATGTGATCTTTCCATGACAGAATAATAATCTGTCGTCAGCATATATAAAAATAAATATATTTTTATTAGAAAGCATTAAATTGATTCAACATTTTTTATGCATAATATTGTAACGATGAGTCCAAGCCGTCACCGTTAAACCAGCGTGCGCGCGAACCAACCCATGAAGTAGGAGTGTATCGACAGTAGAAAGGGCAAAACTTCGCTATATAAACCGCAACATTTCCTCATAGAGGCAGAATCGTCAGGTGTTGACTGAAGGTTCTCTTCTTCCCTACCCCGGCTTGTGGACGTGTTGAGTTCACAAGTTGTTTCGTCCCATACCGCCGTACCCGAACCGAAGAGCGTGTTGAGCTTTTCATTACCCGTACTCCGAAGCAGTCGTGTTGAGACTGTCGAGGAGTGTCCTATTAACCCGAATCACTTAAGGGACGTGTTGAGTTCCTTTCTTTTCTTTGTACCTATCGTCCGCTGTTATTAAATCGACACATCGTTCACGTAAAATTCCGAAAACACACTCGATTGCCGATAAGACTAACTTCATACGACAAGGTCAAACTTAATTTGAATAAATAGGCCAGGTACTGAAAAGACTAAACTAAATTGTAAATATGTACATAAGATTTTTGTCAATTTAATTTAAGGAAGACAATAAAGTTTTATTTTTATTTTGAACTCTGTCTCTGACTGTCCAAAAGCTACCCGGATAGTGACTCCTACGAGAGGGCGTCACAGATGGCGCCCGAGCAGAAAAATTCGTTTTAAACAATAATACCGACCGAATTCCGAATTTTATTTTCATGACACAGTACTGCATTTCAAACTTTATTCAAATACAGGGTGATTCACAGATCAAAAATGACAGACGCTCCGGAAACGTCGAAGGTTAGTTGGGTGTACCTATTAAAGAAAGACGAACTTATAGCCGAATTAACAAACAGAGAACAGTCGACGGAAGGGAATTTTAGCGAGCTAAGAGCGAGATTAGTTGCGATCATCAAGGCACCAACTCAAAAAGGCCAAAACCCAGAGGAAATAGAAGAAAACCAGATGGAAGACAGACAAAGGAAGATGGAAATAGTACGCAAATGGGGGTTATACTTTGACGGTTCAAGAGACCCAATAGAATTCATAGAACGGTTGAAAGAACTCCAGACAGCTTACGGCCTACAAGACACCCACGTTTTACAAGCTCTACCAGAAACATTAAACGGGAAAGCATTACTATGGTACAGAAACAATAATAAATATTGGAACGAATTAAAAGACTTCGAACAAGATTTCCGCAATTTCTTCGTTTCCTCCGTTCTCACGCAATCTCTGGAAGCTCAAATCCGGAACCGACTCCAACGAAACAACGAAGGTGTAAAAGACTACATCATTGATATTCAAACAATGATCAGAAGACATGGTGAATTCAATCACCAAGAAGAACTAAACAGGATATACACCAATATGAACCCGAAATACAAGTTGTATATAAAGAGGCAAGACGTATCGTCAACACAGGACATCATCAGACTAGCGGAAGAATATGATATGGTAAAAAAAGAAATATATAACAGAAACAATACAAGGTGTGACTGGACACAGGCAAATAGTCGTAATAACAAAATACAGAATTTCGACAGACAGACTTGTTGTTGGAGATGCAGCCGCAGAGGCCACAATAGAAGAAACTGCAGAGCTATCGCTGTACTCTTCTGCAGCCATTGCGGAACCCGAGGAACAACTTCCAATAACTGCCAATGTAGAAGCCGACCGGAAAACTCCAACAGGACTGGACAAGAAGGAGGCAACCCAGTCAGCATTTAGAGTCCTCCCTAACAACCTCCAGCTACGCACACTATACAGATCAACGACCCCACACAACGATAACGTTCAGCAACGGTAAAAAGTTAAGAGCACTAATACACACAGGGGCCCAAAATTCGTTTATAGGACAAAAAGGTAAAAAAATATTAGAACAATGTGGAACAAAAAGCGACAGAAAAGCTTTAAAGATCACGCTGGCAGATGGAAAAACCAGCAACATAGAAATCTGTTTTACAGCAAAATGTTCCATAGACAACGTTTGGAGAAAAGCCAAGCTACATTTTTTACCAAACATAGCTTCAGAAGTAGTACTGGGAACGCATGAAATAACAAGATGGGGCCTTGATTTATCAAACATCTTAAATAGAAATCGCGAAGTTTTGCCCTTTCTACTGTCGATACACTCCTACTTCATGGGTTGGTTCGCGCGCACGCTGGTTTAACGGCGACGGCTTGGACTCATCGTTACAATATATTTGCGTTTTTTGTTTGGTTTTATTTTCTGTTAATTTTTTAAACACATTATTTAATTCTAAGGTGGTAAGAAGTAGTGTTGTCCAAAATCGTCTTGGTCTTGCAGTCTTCTTCCTGTTCTTGCGTTTTTGCAAGACCGAGACCAAGACCAAGACTGCCTAATTTTTGCAAGACCAAGACCAAGACTAACCGTGCAAGACTTGAGCAAGAACAAGACTAAGCCTGCGAGACTCTTGCGTCTTGCAGTTAGGACTGAGTGTGGTTTGAAGAAGTATAATAGTTCGGGTTATCTTAGAGACTCTATGAGACGCAAAAAAGCATTACCAAAAATTTGGAAAATTTAACTTTTGCATTACGAAAAATACCATAAACATACATAGCGGATCAAAATATTCATTACAAGAACACTTAAAAATTTGACACGTACTCAGAGGTCATAATTACAATCTAAAAATAAAATATTTTGTACATTCTTTCCCAGCACACTACTTCTTCACTCTGAAATTAATTGTCCAGATTTTGAGAATATCCCTTTCTAATAATAAAATAATATCTTTGCTTTGCGAAGCCGACAGTAATATCGTATCGAAACTTTTTAAAAATGTATCACCTTAGCTGATAAAAAATATAATTAGGTTACCACATTTTTTTCCTTATAATTTAGTTACGAGGAATTTAAATACCACAAATCTTATCGGCTAAGACTAAACATCTTTTTTGCTGAGTATGCGATGACACCATTCAAAATTTGCTGAAAGAATGTGGCTAATATTCAAAAGTAACGAGATAAACAAACAAAGAGATAATGCCGATTACAGTGTAAACAAAATACCGATATATTAAAAGTAACGAAGTAACGATAATAATTCTCGGTTTTTCATTCGGTATAAAATACATACAAGATATATTAAATACCTTAGCATTATACAGTAAAACTGATAATAAAACGGACAAGTGAACAATTTTAACATCACAGATAGTGAATGGCAAACACTCGAAAAAGTACATAAATTTCTAATAAACTTTAAACTTTTGTCAACAAAACTTGGTGGAGAAAAATATGTTACATTACCACTAGTGATTCTCTCATTCAATCTCTTGCTCGATAAAATTGAATCCATTGTAAAAAAATTAGATGAGAAACCTAAGCGATCTGAAGTGGATAAAAAGCTCATTCTTGGTTTTCAAGCAGCTCGAGACAAAATGCTTAAACATTATAAGAAGAGCAACTGGATTTATTGTATCTCTTTAATTTTAGGCCCAAGGCATAAGGCTCAGACTTTTGACATGACGTTATGGGGGAAGCCAATTAAAACAGAAAGCCTGCGAAAATTTAATAATTTTTACAAGGAATATGAAACTCTACACCCAGTAAATAAATCTCTAGAATCACCAAGAAACAAAAAGAAAGTATCTGAATATGATAAAGATGAAGACTTAATAGACTTTGAGAAACTGTATGAATGCTCCTCGACTTCATCTGGATCTTGTCATCAAGGCTTAGTTATTGACGAGTTGGAGGAGTACCTAAGTAAACCCAGAGCCGCTAACTCGAAAGACTTTTTAGAGTGGTGGAGGACGCATGAGACAGAATATCCGACATTATCGAAGATGGCCCGTGATTTTCTTTTAATACCAGCAACTTCAGTACCTGCTGAGAGATTATTTTCTAAAGCATCGTTAGTAATTAGAAAACATAGAAATAGGTTAAGTGATGAGTCAGCCAGATGGTTACTTTGTATTAATTCTTGGTCAAAGGAATAAATATAAAGTATCAGTAATGTAAAAGTCTATTGTGCACTGTGTTGTATAATCCAAATCAACGGCTGTATTTAATTTTTTATTTAAATAAATGGCAAATTATATAACTATTTTATTCCATTTCATATAAGGTGAGGGTCCACCAATCCCTTTCTAGACAAATAATGTTCTTTAAAATACAGTCAAGTTTATGTCATTAATTTGTTTTTTAACCATGTTTGTGCATACGTAAGCTTGTTAAAAGCAAATGCTTATTAAGAAACAGATTGACTCCCGTGGGACATGGTAGATAGCTCAGCTAGTTAGAGCATAGGCACGGATCGCTTAGATCGTGGGTTCAAACCCCACCCAGTGTCAGTTGTTTAGACATTCATTAATTTGTTTGTTCTTTTTATGGCCATGTTAATTCAAGCTTAAAATGTACCTACTGTGTTACGTTGTGCAAGATCTAAAGTAACGTTTAATAAATAGCAATAGGCTAAGGGGTATTTGCGAGACTTGCAAGACTCTTGCTCCAAGACCAAGACTGGGAGCGCAATACCAAGACCAAGACCAAGACCAGGTATATTGGTGCAAGACTAAGACCAAGACTCTCTAAGTCTCGTCTTGTTCTTGCATTTGGGCATCACTAGTAAGAAGTTAACAGTGTCAGCTAGTTTACAATAATTTTTCAACAAGAGAATTTACTGTCACAATTGGTGTGATGGTGAGGACTAATCACATGTTAAAATTATTTATACTGGCATATGTTCTTCAGTTCATTTAATCAGATTAAAAATCATCCATCCAATAAAGTCGTCCCACGAATGCAGTTCATGCGTGCTGACAATGGCACTAAAAAAATTAATAATATTTATGTAAATCCACTAGGTAAAATTGACATTTTTTAGATTCTTTCGAAACACTTTTGAATATTGCGTACATCAATTTGTAATATTTGATATATTCGAATAACTATTTTTTTTTTGATAGGTTACTTTGTTTTAAATTAAATAAAAAGCATTAAATTGATATTGATTTTACTAAAATATTTTTTTTCTAAATCGATGCTTATTTTCTGTAGATAAAGAGGCAATGTCACATTATATAGCGTCAGAACGTTTCGAAAAACAAACATGTGTGCAGTTTCAAAAATTTCTAACAAAATAGATGATTTTAAATTCCTATCATTCGTATATAAAGTCTGTAGTTACTTATCCATAGTGCCACTGGAGACAGAAAGTATTTTTTTGTGTATATTACATCAGTTATTTATAATTCCGATAGGACTTTATGGAATAATTTCTACTGCGGTAACAATTTTTGGTAAACCCCCATATGCTGCTCCATTAGATGTGTTCTTTCAATACATAACCAACGTTTATTTTCCATTTTTATACTTAAACTGCATGTACGGCAGATTTTTTAAAAGTTCTTCTTGGCGTTTGATTTTCCGCATGTGCAAAAACTTGAACCATAGGTTACCATGCAAGATTGATAATGATGGTGCTATTTTACATTCGATTTTATTATTGTGCCTTCTTTTGGTACAAATTTTTGGTGATTTTTTGTCAATTAAAATAGAATTGATAAAAGCATTTCGTCCAGTTGTGGTATATTATGTATTTTCAGCAATGCAAACATGTGGATTTGCTGCTATCACATTGGAATTTTGTGTTTTTATTTCAGCAAGATACAAAAAGCTATCGGTTTTGTTATTACAAGTCTATAATACTGATACTGAACACCTTTTTAAGTACAGTACATTTAAGGAAATAATACGTCTCACAGAATTGATGAAAGACCTGCATTTACTAGTTAAATATATCAATTATTGCTGTGGGACTTATCACTTATTATTATTTGGCTTAACGTTGCTATCATCTACTTGTACCATACATTTTTTTATTGTATCCATACTAGCTGATATACACCTTGGCATATTTGGTTTTTATATTATAATCAGTGGCATAATGCAGTGTCTCGTAAGTAATTCATTATATAAATAATAATTACAAACCAAGCGGAAATTACTCAGACGGATAATAATCCAGAACAGACAAACACGTACGTACATATCATCTTTAAACAAAGCAAAACTCCAGTGAAAAAAACAATAACGAAATTACCGCAAGAACTAAATAAATAATACACACATTGGCAAACCATCTACAGAGAACTACTAACTATTTACAAGCAATACTCAACACCATCAACGATATTATCCCTTCCATAATACCTGAAATCTACACATTGGAACACATTCATATACTCATAATATAGCACTGTATCATACACAGTAACTCTAACAACAAAAACAAACAATAATCAAAGAAGGAAAAAACCAAAATGAAAAATAAGATTACATAATAACATAAGTTTTTCTTCTTCCTCAGCTTTTCACTTTTCAAGGATAGCTGTTCCTTACTATTCGTCGCCACTCATTTCTGTCTATCGGATCTTCTTTATCTAAACCTTTCTTTCTCGAGTCCTCTGCCAAACAATCTGTTCCCTGGTTCTTTTTCCATCAACTTCTAACAGCTCTAACCTTCGCCCACATAGTTTTTATCTCTACGTTCAACATGAGCAAACCATTGCAGCCTTTCTTCTTGAATCTTTTTTGAGTCTACTCACCCTGGCTCTTTCCCTAATCAAGTCGTTTTTAATCCTGTCAAAAGATGCATTAGTCTCATTACACAAGAAAGATGTAATCAGAGAGGCAGAAGAAATTATTTTACGAGCAGGCTCCCAATCAATTAAGAAATAAAAAAACTCTCGGGATAGATGGCATACCAGCGGAAACTCTAACAGCAATTGGCGAGATTATCGTAGATGTAATACTGTATAATATGTGCAACATGATATGGATCGCAAGGAAATGGTCTGATAAGGGGTGCGAATAAACATTTATCCTTTTTTATGTACCGTCTTCTACCGAAGGTTGGCGACCATCAAACAATAGGTTTCTTTGTTTTGTGCCGCATGTATTATGTTCGCAGCTTCTGGTATTTGAAACCATTCTCTCAAGTTTCTCAGTTAGGATGTCTTCTTTCTGCCCAAACCTCTTCTACCTTCAATCTTGCCTTCCACGATAACCTGTAGCAGACTGTACTTATGATTACGGAACACATGACCCAGGTATGACGCTTTCCTCCTTTTAACAGTTGTTAACAATTCCACCTCTTTACCCATTCGTCTTAATACCTCTATGTTGATCACTCTGTCTGTCAAAGGTATTCTCAGTATGCGTCGATTCAGCCACATTTATAGAGCCGCTAACTTCTTTATTGTTGCTGCTGTTAACGTCCGCCCTTCTACTCCGTAAAGTAGCGTAGAGAGTATGTAGCATTTCGTGGCACGCCATCGAAGGTTAACGCTTAAGTTGCGGTTGATTAAGAGCTTTCTCATTTTGATGAATTTGGATCTTGCTATTTCAATTCGGATCTTAATCTCTACGTCTGGGTCCTACTTATCATTTACTGTACATCCCAGATATTTAAATAGGTGTACTCTTCCAATATGTTCAGCTTCAATATTCAGGTCGATTTGTTGAATGTTCTTTTTACTGATCACCATAAATTTAGTTTTCTTTCTATTGATCTTCAGTCCAAATCGGTTGCCAGTTGTATTTACTCTATTTAGCATCATCTGTAAATCTTCGATGTTATCGGCCAGTATAACAGTATCATCTGCATATCGAAAATTACTAATTTTTACGCCATTAATCTTGATGCTCTCGTTGTACTTTTTCAGTGCCTCTACAGATATTTATTCCATATACAGGTTGAAAAGCAGTGGCAAAAGAATACAGCCCTGTCTAACCCCTCTCGAAATGGTTACGTTTTCACTCACCATATGTCCATTCTTTTATAATCTGGATGTGCAGTAATTACAGAACCATTGCCCTTGATCCTTATGCAAGCCAAATTCTGCTACAAATAATCAATTAAATCATTCCTGTTCCGAGGAATAATGCTGCTTCTACAAGCTGTATGGTTTTAAAGACTATCTTGGAAAATCATCATGGCCACTGCGACTTTGTTAGCAGCGCGCCTAAAAAGTTCAATCGAACTACACCCGAACCATTCACGTAGATTACGAAGCCACGATATTTTTCTTCTTCCCACACTTCTTTTGCCCTTAATTTTGCCCTGCATTATGTTTTTTAAAAGTTCGTACTTTTCACCTCTCACAATGTGCCCCAAGTATTCCATCTTTCGAGTTTTTATCTCATTTAGAATTTCGCATCTTTTGTCTAAAGTTTGGAGTACTTGCGTGTTAGTGACGCGGTCCATCCATGATATTCTGAGAATGCGCCTATAGCACCACATCTCGAAAGCTTCGGTGTTTTTTATGGTCAACTGTTTTAGTGTCCAAGCCTCAACTTCATATAACAGGGTACAAAAGACATAACACCGCAGCATTCGTATTCGTAACTTTATATTGATATCACGATTGCAAAAGAGTTTGCGCATTCTATTAAAGACTGATCTAGCGATTACTATTCTACATCTAATCTCTTTTGTTTGATCAGTATCGTCTGTGATCCAAGCACCTAGATATTTATAACAGGGCACACGCTCAATCATTGTATTGTCTATTACAAGATTAGCTCTGATGTTCTGATGATGTAAAGTCTATCAGTACCGGCAGTAGTTCTGTCGAGCTATTCGATCCATCCAACAAAACTGCAGATCCGACACACCGTCAACACAAGGGCTACTGGAAACGGCAGAGATGAGAATACTGAGAACAATTACAGGAAATACGCTGAGAGATCGATAGACATTAGAAGATTAGTACAGTGTATAAATGAATGGACACTAAATAGAAAAAAAAGCATAGAAAAGCAGAATGAAGATGTCGTCAAAATAGCAAGAGATACGTCTCCAATCGGCAAAAGAAGTATCGGATAACCGCTCAAAAGATGGATTGACAAACTTACAGGGAGGTATTAATCTGACAATGAACAAGCAAAATTGTTTATCAAGAGAAAGAAGAAGATATAATCAATAAACTGCTAA